GCCATAAGTTACACGCTGCACAGAAAAATATACAGGTGCATATTTTTGGTAAAGGGGGTAGGTCAAATTCCAGGAGCTAGACTCTGCAGCCTTTCCCGGTCTCATTTTAATGAAGTCTTAGAAGAGAGAGCTGTTCTGGAGGAAACCTGCCTGCTGCTTAAATCACTTTTCATGCAAGCAAGAGCAAGCTATCTCTCTAAACCATATACCTTCTTATACAGAAACATAATTAGCTCAAGGTTGGATTAGGGCATAGGAAGAGAATGGGGGCTGAAGAAAAAAAAAATCTAAGAAAATTCATTCAATTCTTCAGGCACTCTTCATTCACTGGGTCAAGTAGAGGACTCCTGGTTCTGTAGTCAAGCCAACTGGGCATCAGTCCAGGTCCAGTTGGGCTCCACGACTGATGGGGACAACTGGAATATGGGGCAATACTTTATGCCATTGGTCATTCCAGTTTAGAGCTGTTTGCCCCAACTGGCGGTCATTTTGTAGAGTTTCAGAACTGAATCTTTCTCACCCCCACCAGGAGATGTAAAGGACTTAGAAGAAATCACTGAGGAACTCCTGCTTTGACAGGATAAGAGGAAGAAACAAAATTCAGGTGCCCATAAAAATGTGAGTAAAAAGTACATAGGCAGGCAGCCTCCACCATATATGCTACATATTCTTCTCTCTCCTAAATCAGCCCTTTGAGAATTCCCTGGGGTAGTTAAGGCTAATCTCTTCTTCCATATCTATGATAATGCCATGAAATTGTCTCCCCCTTTTTCTTCCAAAAGTTGCCACTTCTTTCAAGCGTGAATCCCAGGGGCCTTTTCCCACTTAGTTGCCATTTAGCACAGTCATATTTATTCGACTCTGGAGACCCTGTATCTGAAAGAAACTTTGAGATAAACCCTCTGGAGAGATGACAAAGAGCTTAAACAGAAGTACCCAGAGCAAATTAAAAGTTAGGGTCTCTCTTTCTCTCTCTTTCTCTCTCTTTCTCTTTAGCACCGCAATTAAAAATGTAGCAGCCTATAAAAAGTTCACATTGCAAAGAGGTCTCCAAACTTCAATAAAATTTCCTCATTTTTGAGGCTCTAAGGAAGGACAAATAACCTTGGTGACTTTTAAAAAAATAATGATGCCTTCAAAAATTCTGTCTGTACTCCCATCTCTGCTGAACAGCTGCTCTGTTTTCATTTTAGATCACTGACAGGTAGTTATGGGTAGCAAATTCCCTTTGTAATTTGCTTTTTTTCTTTTTCTTTTTAAAGTGAACTTAAGGGGATATTCCTCCACACCAACAAAGGAATTCTTTAAGAGCCCCTATAGTGCAGAGTGGAAACCCTTCCTTACTCCCCCCAACCCCCCCCCTTGCTCAAACTCACTGTTAAAGGATAAATTAGCATCAGAAGGTATGGAAGATTTATTTTAAAGGCAAAGCCATCATTTTTCAAACCATAACGTTGAGGCTTTCACTAGCTGGTGTAAACTTCCCCATTATTTATATGCAGTTTTCACTGTAAGTTTGGGTTACAGGAATCCTAATGCTGACAGCTCAGGAATGGCACATAAAAGCCATTCACTTCATGGTTTACTGTGGAGTAAACAGAATGGGAAATAATAATGTGGGGGTGGGAAGTCCTGAAAGATTGTCGTTGTAGGAGGGGAAACTGTTTTAGGCAATCTTTGTTGTAGTCAAGGATTTTTAAAAAATATCGTACAACTGCAGGGATGATGTAGTAATGCAATAACAATTCTGGGTGTTAGTCCCCACCTCTGGAGGTTAAAGGATATCTGTGAGCTGTTGATCCATCCCCACATACTGTACCCTGACAAAGATTCAACTAGTCCTAACAAGGCTCACTCTGTACTACGAGTGTAGCTCCTCACCAAGAACAAATTCCGTGAGTATAATATATTACCTAAGACACTGCAGTTAAATAATGCTATCTTGTATGATGCTTTAGAATAGACGGTGACCACAATGCTCTTCTGTTTCAGTTACTAAAAGAATCATTTTCCTGCAGCAATGCCTTATAGGCAGAATTCAATTTAAGCAGATTTTTGCAAACTGTCAGATTTCCCCCTTTTTAAGAGCTGCAGAAAAGTTGGTTACATGTAAAATACTGGCACGACTCATGGAAATTAAGAAGGCCACAGAGGCTGCACCAGAAAACCGGAGAAATGGGGATAACTGAAGAAACTAAGAATCTCCCTCCATTTCCATGGCCCTTCCCCAATCGGATGCCATGCAGATGTGCAGGAACTACAACTACCAGAATTCTCAGAGCCAGCCTAGCCAATCATCATACTGAATGGGAATTCTGGGAGTCCTTCTTCTATTATATACGCATAGCACCTTGCTAAGGAAAGCTGCTTTATCTGAAAGACACACATTACAATTCTAGGCATGCAACCATGATGTTGGACAAAATGGTTTGCACTGGTGCTCAAATTCATTTCAAGAGCAAATCTGAAATTACCTGATCAGCCACAGCACGAGCCAGTTTGTCCATTCTGGAACCAGCTTCTGCAATCTTCTTGGCAGCATTTATGACATCAGATGTATTCTTCAATGGCCCCTTACCCCTAAAAAAGACAAGTGTGGTGCCATCAACTTAAGTTCTGGAAACAAAGAAATGTAAATTCCTGGATAACAGTTTTGGTTTTCTTATTCTTCTAGAACTATGATAGGACTGTTTTTCCAATTTAGCACAATTGCCTTTAAACTACTTATTAGAGCATAGGCTGGGAGACTGGGGGAAAAAAGGGGGTGAGGGAGGTATTGGATATCTACATATACTCCAAAATGCTTTGCCAGCATTTTGGTCTGATTTTGCCTCCAAGCTCATGAACTTAATTGTAAATGCATTTTAAAGTGTTCATTAAGATGGCATTCCTAGTGGAATGCAAAGCCACAACAATGTCAAGCTTCCCTCTCTGCTCCCCAAGCAGGATTTAATGTAAAAGCTGCCAGATCCAATCCAGAAATGGGCCAGAGTTCAGCAGGGACACAAAGCAAGGCAGCTGCACAAAGTTGAATGCTGTCATGCAGGGTTGTTAAAATGCTGGTCTAGTTTCAGAACCTTTTTTTTGCAACTGCTTGCTAGGCTCTTTGGATATTACCTACAGGTGTCCATGGGGTATGGTCCAAAAAGTCAAGATGGTGATGCACATGGAAAAACCAGGTGGAGCTTTGATTGCACCATCGTAGCTTCCATGTTGACTTTTTTTTAACCATATCCTGGCCTGCAGCCCCTCTGATCTGTAGCAAGCCAAGATGACACCCAAATGGCAAAACAGGACTCATGATATTACACAAACAGTGCATTTCTATAATGACATCATGATGTCTGGTGTAAATCCTAAAGTTGTGTCTTTTGCATCATAACATATGAGTCATCATTTGATCCCCCTGTGACCCCCATCCCAGATGCCCTTAATAGGATCCCTGCACCTTTCCTTAACCTCATGGTTAAGAAATGTTACAATCAGCTCTGTATTTTTTTTTCTAATAGTCTGCCAAATGGTCTCATAAGGAATCTTCAGGAGGAATTATGGGAGAGAGTTGAGAGCTACCTGACATTTTTCCACCCTGCCAAGACTCCCAAATGTTTAATCCATGCCTACACTGTCACTTTAGACTACAGGTGGGGCTAATAGGATTGTTCATACATCACCATTGGGAAGATAGCAACAAAAAACACCCTACCCAGAATCTTTCAAGTCATGGAATAGGATTTTGGATTAAGGGTGTTGGCAAGTACACCTGTTTGGATTTTGCAAATGGATCTACCAAAGAGGACGCAAGCTGATCTTGACTTTGCTAGCACACGTGTTCTTTTTACCTACAGAAGCTTAGTTTTTATTCACACAGTTTATCCACCGCTGCCCTCACAGCTTGGGGACCATTTTGTTACAGATTGGTGAGGTTCAACAGGTCTCTCATCCTTTCTGAGTATCTCTAAGTCCTGGAACTTAAGAAGTCATAACTCAGGTATCTAGGAGGTGACACATCTAGGCACTACCAAACCTTGGTCTATGAGCTTCAAAATGGGAACTGTGATGGGTATTCTGAAACCAGTGTAGAAACACTGGCATGCTCTTTTTTTTTATTTTTGGAAGCCAGCCTAGGGCTAAAGGCCTGACAGTGTAACCTGTCTTGAAAAGGCAATGAACCTGAATTAAGGTTGCATGTATGCAACACATCAGACTGTGATGTTGTGCAGGGAATAAAGTCAGGATAACAGATGGTGTGAGATCCTTCAAAGATGGGAAAAGCCTAGGCCCCTTTCTGTGATTGCTATTAAACTGAAATAGATATGCATGTATGTATCTATATTGGTGGTACAGTGATCCTGCTGGCACCTTTTTATGCTGGCAGTTATGGGTTGAATTAGAGCCTAAATGGCAGTGTTATTTTCTGGTGGAGTTGGAATGGGATCTAGTTCAACCTCATTATCTGAACTGGGGAAAAAAAAGAAAAAAACAAACAAACATGAGCAGTATCATTAGATGGGCAACATCTTCTTCATTTTAGACCATGTGCTACATGGGGTTTGCGGTGAATGTTTCTGCCCATCCTAAATCTTGTGGCCTTTTTTCAACTGTTTCTGTCTTGGGGATGAATTGGTTCCTTCTGAACTACCCAGCTACACAAGGACCGTCTTCACCGATGCACATACCTGGTGAAATCTGTCATCTCCATCATGATCATGCACATCTGCTTGGCCAAGACAATGATGTCATTGCCACTGTCATCCCATTTGGCCACTTCAGCATCCAGCTTGCTCTTTTCTTGGTGGAATATCTCTACCTGCTCAGCTATTTTCGCCTTTTCCTCTTGGGGAAGCTGAGCCATGATTGCCTGCATTCAGCCAAACAGAATCTTGTCATTTTAGGAAATGACCTTGTCAAGAACAAAAGTTTTGAGTTAGCTTCTCACCACTTCCCATAAGTAGGAAAATCATTAAAAATGACCTTAATTTGAATCTGATCTGATTCTTTGTGCTTTAGTTTCTGCTGACAAGGCAACCCTCTAGATCACTGATGCCAACTAACCAGCTCATAGCCATCTTTCTCAGAACTGGACCAGTCAGTGGACACATCTGGGTTCATTTTTCTGAACTTAGAAACAAACAAATAAAGAAGGAACACTCTAGGGTCACCTTAAAAATGAAATATTTATTATCACAAAACCTTTCATGGGTCATGGACTACATCAGCTACTAGAACGGGGAAAAAAGAACTTCTAAAAAAGTCAGTATAAATATAATATAGTAACAGATGGCTCTAATATAGCTAGTGAGATGGATTATAGTAGATGATAATCTGCACAGAACTGGATCATCAAGATGTGCCACTGATAACATAGGAAAGCTTCTAACTTTCCAGTTCCTGATAGACTTTTGTGTGCTCCAGAATTCAAGCTGTTCGAGATAACTTTTCTGGAAGAACTTGAAAAGGTTTAAACACGTATCACCATTTAACTGACTCTGATACCAGCGGTAAACACAAGGATTCCACTTTAATAATCCAACTTTTTCAACAAAGGAGCGACAATGTTGCAACACAAAACAGCAAAATGGTAATAATTACTTTTGAAGATCAAATGGGAACCTTTCAGCAGTGATTTCTAGACTGAAAGTATGTTTGGCTGCAGGGTTATACCACACTGCACGGTAGATTTAATGGGGTGTGACACAGATTTAAGTGTCATTACATTTTTTTCTTGTTTATGCCACTTTCAATCAGCTAACGCTTCTCTCTATATATTCTTAAAACGCTCTTGGCTTTTTAAAAATTCATAATTGACCTTTCCCAGAACTAGAATTTTGGAAAAAAATAAAAAGGTTATCTTGAATCAGATTGGAAAAATGGAGAAAACGTGGAAGCTTATCAAATTAGAATTCAATGTCTGAGTTTTAATTAGGCCTTATCAATGTAACTCAGCAGTTTGAAATGTTAATGTGAAAAAAACAAAACAAAACCCAGCTTCCCCCACAAAAAGGCATAGAAACTGAGTCCCTTCTTTGCATCTGAAAGAAAACAAAGCTCCTGTTTTATGCACCTAATGCTCATTTGCATCCCTGAGATTATGCATATTCATTTGTATGTGTGCATAATGTCTCACAATGAGTCTTTTACCAATATGTGGTATGATTCCAACTTAGGCTAACACTCTAACTTTCGTTATTATGCTTCTTCCAACACTGAAATTGTTTTTTTAAAGAAGGCTTTCTCTTTTTCTTTCAGTGGGTTATGCAGTATGCAAATTCCAATTTTATTTACTTCTAATCCACAGTAAGCGTGGAGTCGTTAAACAACAAACAATTTCTATGGAGTGGTGCTACCACCACATATACCTTCAAGTTCTACACAAGCAGAGATACTTCGTGGGCAAATATTCCTAGGATTCATAAGCAACCATACTGAACAAAAATGCAGATATTGGATGGACTCCAACATTGGACAAGTAGAATTCTTCATCATCTCCTTCCTTTTGAAGTCTTCAACGCATCTTCAAAATCTTCTCGGGAAAGTTGGAGACTGTTTGGGGCACATTTTGAGGATAAACAGGAGCCATAGTTCAGCTGATGGACATCCAAATGTCCCATTGGATTTTGCTTGGTAGTTTTGGGGAAAAAATCTAGTTGCCTACCTGGGAATCTCAGGTTTCATAAAAAGGAAGTGTGAGATTGTGAGGAGGAAATCCTACTCCCTGCCATACTGTTTTCTTTTTTGTTGTTTCCTGCCATACTGTTTTCCTCCCTCAAACAAGGCAAAAGGTTCAAATTTACAATTAGAATGGGCTCCCCCAAAAGATTAAAATGTGGCAGGAAGAGTCAAGATTCTTTGAACCTAGCAAGATCTCCTTAATGGAATAACAAAAGATCTCTTCCCCGAAGAGATTAGCATTTCAATCAAGCAGTGCTAGACAGGCAAATCCCTCAGCTCAACAGTATGCCAAATGACAGGAAACTACAACTCAGCGGGGTACCTGACTTCACAGCGTTCCCTCTTGGAAGTCTGGCTAAGTGCAATTTCTAAGAATTCCTAGAGGGTGGGCACACTTTTGCACACTTCTGAAAGAACAAAGCAGGGCTTCTCTATATAAAGGGCTCCAAGGGAATCAAAGGTGAGGCTGCCTTCCGCCAGCTGATTCTGTGTGTTGTGCTCTCGGAAAATAAACCTCTGATTCAAGCAACTGCCTGCACATTTTTATTCCTGTCTCGGAAATGAACTTGGAAAAATTTCTTTCTAACAGAAGGAAGAAAATGATAAGCAAATTTCTAGCTCTTATGAAGCCTAAAATGGTGACTTCAATCATTTGTATTGTTCCTCTTATCTAAAAGTAGAATTAATGAAAGAAAGGGAAGCCATAGATGTGTACATTAAATAGCTTTATTCTCTAAATCTTGATTTCTTGGTACAGAAATGAGGTGCCTAGCATATGCAGAAACTATCAAGACAGACGATTTAGCTGTTGGATAGTATGTAAGACCTCCATTACAGCTTTTGTTCTGCTGTTTCAAAAATTAAGCTATAGTTATTTTACTTATGCATATGCACATTGCCTCAGCAGTTGGTGGCACTGAGTTGACCTTTCCTGAATTTGGAAGCTAAGTGGGTTTGACCCCAGCTGACACTTGGTTGGGGGAACCAGCTGGGAATTCCAGGGCTGCTGTACTCATCTGAATTCATATTCAAATGAGTACAAATGCACTGCAGCAATCCAGAACAGCAGAAAAAGGAAACAGACCACCTAGACAGCATCTCCCAACAAAATGGATACCCACGCAACTTTATCAAAAAGCGCCTGACCACTCAACCCACTACAGCACAACCAACATAAGCCATGAAAAGGATAACACTGCCATACATCAAAAACATCCCAGAAACAACCAACAGACTATTACAACCACATAGTATCACTGTGGCACACAAACCAACTAAAGCCCTCCAAAACATCCTAAGTAAATCAAAAGACCCGGTAGCCCAAGAAGAAAAAACAGGAGTCATCTACAACATACAGCATGTAACAACCACTATGTAGGACAGGCAGGCAGAAGACTAGCAGAAGTGCATCCATGAGCACCAACGAGCAGTCAGAAGACACGATGAAAACGCCTTAATCTCACAGCACATGGACAGACTTAACCATAGTTTCAACTAGGAAACTATGAGCATCCTAGACCAAGCTAAATCCAAAAACGCGAGGGAATTCCTGCAAGCTTGGCATTCAGACAAATCAGCCATCAATAGACACATAGAGTTAAATTACATTTACACACAATTCAAAAGAGACAATAAAAAAGTTAAGAAGGAAACAAAAGAACCAGACACATCCTTTCCAACAGCCTACAGCCAGATAAGCAGGGATTAACACCAAACAAACAATCAAGCAGAAAACAATACCTTAATCAAGGAACTACCAAGAAGAAAACCAGACCCCCACCAATGCTGGCAGGGCAAGCTACTGTATATAAACAGGGAGCAAACCCCACACTCACTAGCACTGATGATGCTCCCTAGTCGGGTCATGAAACGTCTGCAAGCAAACAGCCAAGCTGAGAGAGCACCAAGGACTCCACAGTTCAACCCTGAGCT